ATGAGGTATACAGTGATTAGATTTATACAAGTGTCCAGAGTGTGTGCAGTAATTGGATCTATACATCCGTAAGCAAAGAGTTATACAGTGATTAGATTTTTACATTGAAAAGAAGGCCGGAACCAGGAAATTATATAAATGTGTGTTACAGATGTGATCAAACAGAATTATAGTAGAATCCAGAACCAGAAATATTTGAGAGAGAATGAGTGGAAAGTACCATTTTTATAAAGACTGGACCAAAATGGCACTCAAAAAGAAGACATTCTACTCAGCAGAGCATCTTTTTTGCCTTGGTGTACCTTAATATGTATAAAAAGAAAAAGTTGGTTAAGTGGATAATGTTTTTACCTGTGAAGCTAATGATGGGAGCATAGGTGGTGGCATAAACAAGTAAGAGGAATAATACATTGCAGTCCTGTAGTGGAAGGTTCTCAAGAGAGTAGCCCAGTAAAAAAATGAGTGGAAATGTTCCTGGAGCTTTAACCACCCTTCATATATATCTAAAATAACCAGTGAGTCAGTCATGAAACTGGCCAAATCAGTGGGTACTTGGGAAAACCAAACAAAAACTAGTCCTGTCTCAATGATGTGATTCAAAAACTTGAATACAGTGCAATAGGAACATCAAAAGTAAAATAGAAAAAAATTACAAAAATGTTGAAGTACCCAATCCCATGATTCCTACACTTTCAGGGTGACAAAATTTCCCAGACCACTAAGCAGTTTTGCAGGATGTTTCAAACTTATCAGTAATTTAACAATTCATAGTTAATTACCAGTTATTTTTTTGTCAGTCTCTTAGGTTAATAAACAGAAAAAGTTCGAACCTGCTAGATATTGACCAATTAATGGCGAACAATGTTGAAAGGGTCTTTATTTAAAAAAAAAAATGCTCCCAAGCTTTAGCCTAGTAGTTAAGAATTAAAGAAAACTCTTTTACAGAGATCTACACAACATTCTACAATTAATTTGCCAGCGCTTGTCAGGTACAAAACTTACAGAAGCTCTATCCAACACTCTAAAATCAATTTGTCAGTGCTTGTCAGGTACAAAACTTACAGAAGCTCTATCCAACACTCTAAAATCAATTTGCCAGTGCTCGATACATTTCCTTTTTTAATTTTTATTTGTTATTGCAACAAGTGAAAGAATAGGATCAACAAAAATATTTTATATAAATCACAGTAAAGTACAACAAACATACTTAACTAAAAATAGAACTGACTATTAGAAGAAAAAATAACATTACATGGATTATCACATACCTTGACTAATCCACTCAAACCAGAAATCATAAATGTGTTGAAACTGACAAGAATTTCACACAATCTGAAACAAAAAAATAGTTAATTTTCCCCAAACAAGTCAACTTTCAACTCTCCAATTAAACAGCAACTAATATAGTTTCAATGAGGGAAGGTGAAATGTCAATAAAAGTTTAAAATACTGGTTCATATTCATCCATTACTTGTTTGCAGCTTCCTCAATTTTCATTTCATTATTCTAATCTTTCTCAGTTTTATAACACTGAAATGAAATTTAAGGGTCTTTCCAGGAGCAGGAGAGTAAAATTATATTTTCCCATATTTTTCCTGGAGCTGTAAATACCATGATATCATTGTTAGAACTATGATACATCTATTGAGGAAGTATATCCTACTTCGGATATCTCTAATGTCATGCAAGCAGAGGTAGGAAACGAACCTGTAAAAGAATCTTCTACTTTCAGAGGGGACTGCCTGGAGAGGTAACCTTTATAATCACTCACACCACTATACAGTAGTGTGCTGTCAGTCAGTAGACAGTAAAATGACATCACATAAGGGATGCTTAATGTTGCAATTTGTACTGTCAAAGAACATGATCATGCCATGAATCACAAGAATAATTATGATATATCACTCTGTAGGCTACCACACAGCATGACATACACATTTCAAAGACAAGAAATAAAAATAATTGTTTCATTTACTCTTAAAGCAAAATACTTTCTGGGTCTCCACAGAAGCATATTTAGTAATTTATCTGTTTTTAATCTTCCAGTCTTTCTATTTATCACCAAGGGATTATCATCTCCATAATTCAAGTCAATTCCAAAATTTTCCAAAAATTGCTCAAGGTCAGGAATATTGTTAATATCTTATTTCATTAAAACAGAAGCTCAGCCATCTTATAATCTTTAACAACAACCTTGCCATAAGCATCCTTTGGGGTCCAATTCCTATTTTAACATTTTGCTTACATAAGCTTGACACTTTAACATACTTAAAAAAATCCTTGCTGTTTGTTTTAACATTATCAGTTAGCTGTTTCTCTTGAGCCCTTTTGGATTTTCCAGTGTCTTTATTAACTAACCGCTAGCTATCCAATAGTTTTTTAAACCTATCTGCCAATCTAAACTTCTTAAACTTATGGCATTTATCCTCAATTTTCTCCTTTCTGTCCTTATTATGCTAATTACGTTTAATCTTCCTTGTTATCATTTTTCTTTTTTAGGAACATGCCTATGTTGAATTAAAAGCATTTTCTAAAATTTCTAAAGTCTGTCCAAAATCACCTTTTAATAATTCAATAATGTATAAATCTTGTGTCTAGTCTCAAACCTGGATTTCTGAAAATTAGGAACTACAATTTATTTTTATCTCAATATGTATCAAAACATCAATTCTAACTAAACAATTAACAATAACCTCCAAATGTTCCCTCATTTCAACTGTAGTGCAACCATACTCTATTAGTGGTTAACAATAAATCTAAAAAAGCCTTTCCTTCTAGTTGGATCTCTGACAATTTGATATAGAAAAACCACCCTGAAACACCTCAAGAAATCTCAGTCAATATCCTATAAATCAGAAAGAAATATATTTAATTTCATCTTTCAAAACTAGTTTTTGATGACCTTGGAACTAGTGGTAGATAAGATACTGCAAGTGAAAATAATTCAAGAGCCCTTCTGGCTTTCGAAACTGGCAGGCATGGAATTAGCCTTTGGAAAGGATAAATGGTTGGAAAGAGTAGGGTATCTACTGAAAATTACCCCCCCCCCCCCAATATAAGAGTCAGTTCTGTGAAAATCTGAGTAGCATTGCTGAAGTTAAAATTTTATTTACCAGAAATGTATTTCAGACAGATACACCTCTTCACAGACCCTCCCACCCTTCCAAATAACCTCTGCTCTTCTGCCTCATCAAGAATGAGCCTTTGGTCATACATGAAGTACTTATAAGATCAACAAGTGAAAGATGTGCTGCCTTAATACTGATAAAGAGCTATAGTCTAATGGTGATAGCATCACAGACTGATGCAGTACACTTTGATGCTTATAGGGTTTGGAGTTTTGTTCATAGCTTGGTGCATACACACAAAAAAAAAAAAAATTGGCAGTGGTGTGAGATAATAGCTATCAGTTCTTTGGAGAGGAAAGTAGCATTACTCAAATTACTTCAGATCTAAATGGTTGTCATAACCAAGTATTACTTAAAAAATGGGGGGAAAAGATAATGAAATAACACTGTAAATAATGTTTAAAGGACAACAAGAGGTTCCTTGCCCCATCATGGCTGTTCCATTCACTTCGTGAAACACCAATTTACCTATATCCAGCCCTCATTTCCCAAGTGCTCATCAAGACCACTCTTGAACTCTTTCAATCCTATTGCATCTACCACAGCTGATGGAAATCTTTTCCAAAGGTTGGCTACACTGTTCAAAAAATACAACTGCCAAATTTGCAGATGTCTCCTAATCCTACTGTTCTTACCAGTGTTTCTGTTAGAGGACCTCTTGGAATACTCTATGCTCAGAATTTTCCTTTGAACATTGAATATGTGAGTTCATAGAACATCCATAACTTGATTCTCTCAAACACCTAAATAAAAAAACTTTTTTTCCAGTTTCTGAATGACCTTATTTTAGTACTGCAAGCCTAAAAAATCTTTTTTCAATAAAATGTTGACGTGTTTAAAAAATTTAATTAACTTTTGAATCTTTCTAAATCACTTATAGAATGATCACAAGAGTAAATCATTGACTTTGCTAGTCAATTTTTACCATCAGCATACGGAGAAATCTTATGTTTACAACCATTTTCATAAATCCTAGAAATATTAAGAATAATGCATTGGCACCATTATCAATATTATCAAAAGCATTTGGAGCAATGCTTAACATAGAGAGATAAACATGGTAAACAAAAAATAGATGTCTGGTCCAAATGCCCTGGTTTGGAATATGCAAAGTTGTATTATGATGATGATACTTACCATAGATTATCGAGTTAATTACCCAACTTTATACTTGATGCCAATGGTAACTTACTAAAAGATAACCTCTTTTTCACAGAAATAGCTTAATGTGCAAGTGTTAATAAGCCTCTCGTACCTATGCTTTTTAAATGTTATGATCAGGGAGTGTTCTTTTGTTCATTTCAAGATTATTACTAATAGCAAAATACTTTCTTTTGCAAGTGAATGTAATTATCAATCTATTGTGCTGAAGAGCTTAACTTTGATGTTTTTAAAACCCAAACTTTTGAAATGCACATTGTGTTCTGCAGATAGTGTGATACCCAGAAAGTTTGGAAAATTGTTGTTTATTTTTAAAATAGTATTATAAAAATTTGTTGCCTATGAAAAGTTTGTTTGAAAATTGAAGTTTTATTTTCTGTTGCACATATTGATTTATTAAAAATGTATAATTGCATATACAACTGTACAGTTCCAAAAATGAATTTTCTTTTACAATTTAGATGTTCAGCAACATCTAAGTATTACTGTTAAATAGAAAATATGAATCCATTATAATCTTTTTATTATTAATTTGGTTTTGTTAATTTGAACATTACTATTTTATTAAATTTAATTCTGGAAATAGCTTTTATTAAAAAGGCATAATTTATATATGTAATGCATGGTGTATATTAATACACAGTAATTATATAAAGAATTATTAAATATTAATCGAATATGGATTTGGCAATAACAATTACTAAGTATGGAAATGGTAACGACAATTCTGCAACTAAAGTGTGATGTAATTCTGTGGTTACAAAAAAATCAATTTCTTAGCAAAATCAAATATGTGGGATACAGTGTTTTAACCACTCCAACAATCATTAAAAATCCGATTAAACTTTTAGTAATTTAGCAATAAGAAATTAAGAATTATTAAGAAGTTTTGCTGACCAGTAGCTTGAGGTATCAAGTAGTCCCATAACGCTAGCTCGTTAGGACAATATTTTAGGAAGACCAGTATGTTGGCATTTGTAAACACTAAAAGGGGTTGTGAATACTACAATGGCTAGAGTTTAACTAGGAGGGGAAGCATTAGAAGTTGTTTTGTCATTATTGCCCAGTGTTAGGGGGCTATACTACTGCTATTGTCAAGTTTTTCACGACTTTAACACTGATGACAAAGTTTTGGATGTTACTATTAAAGCCAACTTTTATAAGCCTTACCTATCACCAGTTTTTAAAGCCTCTTAAAATTATGGCACATTATTCCATTGCAAGGGTCAAATTTTATGGAGTTTATTATAGAAAAGCCTATGAAGACAGTTGCTAACTTTATGATAGGTTTTCATGAATGTTGACAAAAAGTTTTTGATTTAAATGATGCAACAAGGTGTTTCCATAAGGTGTTGTTGACTGTATTGTTAATAAAGTTTTTCAATGTAAAACAATAAAAAGAAAACAGGGGTAGAAATAATATATTTAATTGTTTTCTGGAATAAATGTTATGTTCGTACTGCTGTAAAGAAAGGGAGCCTGGTCCATGTATTGTGTAAAGTATTGAAGACAGCTATAAAAGAGCTTGTCCTCCAAAATATTATGACTAATTTACAACATTCAATAGGGCTTTGAAGAGGCTCTTTTCATTGGCATGACTAAACATTCCATCCTTCTCTCTAGCCAATCAGTGAACATTGCATTATATAACTTCAAGATTCTGATTCTAACAGTCAGATGTCCTCGATGGCAGCAGAAATTATTTTCATCTGTACTTCATATTGCTAATTTGCAGAGTGATAGGAATTGGACTTAGAGATATTTAAAAAATTAATTTTTCTTGGGGGGGGGGCGTGACCTCTCATTCTCTGATATCCATTCATTTAGGTCCCTCCACACACACTCCTTTCTGAAAGTCCTGGATCCACCAATGAGTTCACTGCTGGTGCTAAAGGTTTTTGCTAACCTTTAATACTGTCAAAACTTCTGATTTTGAGTTGTAAAGGAAATGATACACTATAGTTTCTGGTTTGATATCAACACAAAAGTGTTGTACATCTGACTCAAAGGTTAGTTTGTTGGATGTCAGCAAAGCTACATGAGGGTATCTGTGCTAATCTTCCCTAATTTTGAACTGATAGATAAGAGGAAAGGCAGCTACTCAACACCACCCACTGTCACCTCTAGTCAGACTGAATACTTGGACTTAACTGTCACATCTATAACATAGTCAAGGTCCTAAAATGTGTACTTGGCCACTAACTTAGATGAATGACAAGGAAATGCAACTAAGTAAACGATACCAACTGCTAACTGCTGGACTACTCTAATTGATTAGTATGATTTGACCATTGCTCTTATCATAACTCTAACATATGAAGTGTGATTTTTAAAAATATTTCTTTGTTATTTTGAAAAAGCTTTGGCTTCATAAACTCCATGTTACATATTTATCCTGCTTCAATGGGCATAGTAAAATTATACAATTCCTTATCATTATACTACAAAATCAATGTGCATAAAGTATATTCAACACATTGATAATTGGTTTTGTATATCCACCTCTAGCAGCCAAAAATGAAAAATAGTACATTCAGCATATATTTTTCAACTTTTCTTTGTTGATAAACACACATAATTTAATTTGAAATAATATTATATTCAATTTTCCTTACATGAAATTACATTATACTGCTATTCAAATGGTAAATGCATCATATATTATTTCTAGTTAACATTAACTAAAAGTTCATAGATATTACATCACTACTACATATTAAAAAAGTTAGACCTGTACTTTCTTATGCTTTTGTAGAATAATTTAGAAACTCGAGGCTTGTTTGTTTGTTTGCAATTAAGCACAAAGCTACACAATGGGTTATTTGTGCTCTGCCCACCACAGGTATTGAAACACGGATTCTAGCATTGTAAGTCCGCAGACATACCGTTGTGCCACTGGGGGCAAAACTAGAGGCATTGTTTTCTTACATTTACTAAAAGTTCACATATATCTAACAGAAAAAGTTTGAAATTCCAAACCAACTTCTACTCAATGCAATGAACAATTGTAATTTACTAACAAAAAATAACACATGGCTTAATACTAAAACCACACATACAGCTCACTTTTACAGTTAAAAAACTAGAAAGAAACATATATATGTCTATATTATATTGCTTTACAAAAGCATTATATGTGGCAATTACTTGTAGCGATATTTCCTGATGCAGTCATTTCCCAAGTCTACAACCACCAACTCATTATTCTTCAAAATGGCCAGGCCAGCCGGCCTTTTCAACTTTGTTTTTGGACTATTGATACAAAATGACAAATGACCAGAGACAAAGTTGAAGATCTGGATATAATGTTTGTTTTTCTCTGAGCGACATACTAGGAGATTGCCTTCTCTATCGGACACAAGACCTCCAAAATGACCGCCATTCCTTCCTTCTGGATAGATTTCTTTGAGAAACTCACCTGAAGAGGCAAATACTAAAACTGAAGATTCTCCTACAAGTATTTCATCTTGTGGTCCCACAGCCACAAACTTGACAGCCTGGGATTTAGAATTGCTGAACCCTGTCAGCTCTATCCTTTGAAGCAGATTTCTCGATTCATCCAAAATAAAGACACAATTAAGGTTGTTATCGAGGACAAGAATTTCTCCTTGACTGTTAACTACTATGCCCATAGGTTCGACAAAGTCGGGATGAGTGGATTGACTTATAAATTCACCATCAAATGTCATCTCTGTTATGTATTTAGTTTTCCAGTTTATGACTAGCATGGAATTGGCATGTGTTATTGCTATCCCAGTACCTCCACATTCTTCCAGTCCTACTCCTACAATGTGATGAATAAACTCCAAATCAGATCCAAGAACTTTGATCCTGCTGTTACCTGTATCAAGCACAAAAACCTGCCCAGCAGGACCAATGGCAACAGCACAAGGTTGCAGAAACTGGTTGTCTTCACAGCCCGTGGTGCCAAAGGAAACTACAGGGTTGATGTCTTGCAATGCTTCAAACCTGAAAGGGCTGTCCTTGATTGGTCTACCAAAAATAGTTATGTGAAGTTTGTAAACACCTGGCTTTTCTGTCCTGTATTTGATTGTGTATGTCCCATTATTGTTGTCAACAACAGTAGCTTTTACTATTTCTCCATTCTCATGAAAAATTTCAACTATTAAGGGGTCTCCTCCAACTGACTGAGGATTCCCTTTGAAATCTACAGCTGTGACAAGAGTTTGCCCTTCCAGATGCACTGAAATGTCCTCCACCTGAGCTGTGCACAAAGAAGGAAAAGTTGTGCTTGTCCTAACCTTACCAAATGTACCCAAAGCAGTTTGCAACTCATCAAATGCTCTATTATGATCGTATTCATAGGTGATGAATCCATTCTCTCGTGGTTCACCAAAAACAGGCATATTATTAATCTTTTCATTTATTAGACATATTTTTTTGTAGATGTTTCGAACCTCAACTTCATTATCAAGACCTTGACATTGTTGATCCACTGAAAGCTTTTCTCTCTTAATAGTCGCCAACTGCTCTAAGAGAGAGCTTTTTTTCTCAACTTGATATTTTTTCATGGTAGATAATAAATCTTGTTTCCTATTTTCTACAATCTTTAAAAGTTCGTAGAAAGTATTATTTGCAATCTCACAGGACCTCTCCATACTTTCTTCTAACTTGCTTAATTCATTATTTACATTTTCTGTGGCAGTGTTTAATCTATTAAGACAAATATTTGCCTTTTGCAATATTACATCAGCCATTTTTGTAGCAACAGATAATAAATAGAAGGCCAAAATTTCAATATTTTAGGTGTGTGGTAATTAATGTTTTTTTCTTGATTTATTTTGAGGAATATCTAGAATACCTCACCCATTTACTGCTTTCTTGAAGTGAACTCTTAGTGTTATCTGAAGTTACAGCTGTGTTGCTTCCTAGTAAGCAATATCTATTAATAGGGTTACCATTCATAAATGCTATTGTTCAAAGCATCAAGTTCACATTTCATCAACAACCAATTTCCTTACTAGTGACTTGTAACCAGATGATTAGGCTTCAATGATGTACAATACAGCATGGTAAAAATCACTGCCTATCCTGAAAAAGAGAAAAACAAATTGCGATTTAAACTACATTTTGTAAATCTGGCAACATGTTCCATATTTTTGTTTTAGTAGAATAGTTTCTTTTATCAAAAACATTAATTAACATGATTATCTCAACTTACTCCCCATCTAACTTCCCAATGTTTACCAGTTTCAAGTAAGTAATGAAATATCAAAAACTTTTTTGTTCTGTGTGTACTTGAAAATTAACTGTCATAGGTAGAAACATGTTAGTGAAAAAAAAAAAAAAAGAGTTAAAAATAATGTGTGTGTGTGTGTAAACACATCTGTCAATACAAACACACACATACATGCATACATATACAGGAAAGCAGTCACAAAGAATAATTACAGAAAGTGGAAATATGGCCAAGTCCCCTCTCCGAGATGTTAAGTGGCTACCATCTTTCTTATAGTTTTTTAATTTACAAATGTTTTCCTATACATGGCTTATAAATCCCTTTATCTTTGTTACTTCCATGTTATATTGTTTGGTTTGGCAGAAATGGCAACATGTCAGTGACAAGAAAAGTTTGTTTATTTGTTTGTTTAATTTTTGCTAAGCTACTCAAGGGCTATCTGCACTAGCCATTCTTAGTTTTGAAGTGATAGACTAGAGAGAAGGCAGCTAGCCAACACCATCCACTCTAAACTCTTAGGCTACTTTTTTTACTAATGAACAGTAGAATTGACCATCACATTATGATACCCCCATGACTGAAAGGGCTAGCATGTTCAGTGATAGGATTCAAACCCATGAGCTGCAGATTGCAAGTTGAGTTTTCTAACCACCAGACCAACTCTGATATGAAAACTTTCAAGAACCGCAAAGCATGATTTAAGGCATAATTAATGATTAAGAATGGGAACATTTAAGAAGTAGACGAAGAACTGTACCATGATCACATAACAATTAAAGCTGAGCTTTTCAATAATGTAAAAAACATGTTTATTTTTGTTTAAAATTGAGTATTAACTGTGATTAAGTCAAATAAAAATCTGTTATACAATTTTTGTATCAGTTTATATTTAATGTACACAGAAAATGGCGTATTATTACCAAGAATTAGTGTTTGTTGGAAAAAAAAAAAAAATTTACCAATTACTATTTCAAAAAACAATAATTTAATTACTACTGTCCTTAGTGGAGTGTCTGCCTATTATAACAGTACAAACATTTTTTTTGCTTTTCTAAAGTAACGAGAACTTTTTATTGTTCAAATCTGTGACAAACAATTATCACATAAATAATAAAATTGCATTGAATTTGAACAAACATTCAACTACCTATAACAATTTCTACTTGAAATGAGCTTTAAAACAAGTTTTTAAAATTACAGTCACAGTGCTAAGATACAGTGCAATAATACAAATATTTCCTGTAATAATGTTACTATTTTATTTCTTTAATAAATAGTAACCTTACATCAGTATTGTATCCCATTTCTCAGCTATTGCAATGCCAAGCTCTCTGCAGTTACGTGGTAGGTTAAATTTTCCCACATACACAGAGTACAAGGAGGACCAATAAGTGTTCTATGGGATTTAGACAAGGGATTCTTGTGGGCCTATCCATGACCTCAACATTTAAAACAGGGATTCTTGTAGGCCTATCCATGACCTCAACATTTAGACCAGGGATTCTTGTAGGCCAATCCATGACCTCAACATTTAGACCAGGGATTCTTGTAGGCCAATCCATGACCTCAACATTTAGACCAGGGATTCTTGTAGGCCTATCCATGACCTCAACATTTAAAACAGGGATTCTTGTAGGCCAATCCATGACCTCAACATTTAAAACAGGGATTCTTGTAGGCCAATCCATGACCTCAACAGTTTTGTGTTCCAGAGCATCTATTATAATCCTGGTAGTACAACACCAGTCATCTATCTGTCCAGCCCCAAGGAAACAATAAATATCATGTATATCATTTAGCACACTCCCTACCTCTGGCTCAACAGACACAAAACCCATCGATTGATCATTGGTAGGAACATGAAACCTTGTCACTTCTGTGATGTAAACAAGCACTCAATGGCATCTAAACTGATACATCAAATTTTATAATTGAATTAAGATGTATTTTTCCAGACTGTATTAAAGACTTCCCTCCTTAATCTCTTAGTTAAGTATATATATATATATAAATAGTTTATAAACTACTGATTCCCTTAATTGTCCATAGGCAATTAAATCAGCACTATAAAATAATAATGAATTAAATATCACAATACTGTTATCAGTCCTGGTTGTCCACTTATTGTCATAACGGATAATGTCTGTGGTAATAGCACCCAAATGTGTTGGGGGTATCCCACCTGTCAGAAAATATCCAAATGCACAACGTCTCAGCTTTTACTGCCTTTCACTGTCTATAGTTGGTTGTGGGAAGGCAGTTATCGTTAAATTTCATAAAGTAGAAATGAACTGAAATACAGCCACCCTAATATTTCTACTAATTAAACTCCCAACCTCCACCCTTTGAAAAACGATATCAAATAGAATTATATATACACACACACACACACAATATAAATAAAAAATTGGGAATTTAAAAACTTTCAAATAGGGATTGTAAAAACAGTAAGGAAACAAGGCTGGAGATACTGTAGACATTATTTACTCAAACTACAAGCCCCTATTTTGGCTCCATGTTGTTACCTACAATTACATTTGGTTGAGTCAAAATAGCAACAGTCCAGCAAGGTGTCATTTATATTGTTCGCAACAATGTAAATGCACAGTTTTCATTAATGTTGGTTGCATTTTCTATCTATTTACTACAATAATAGCCAAAAAGTAAATTACTGGTTTTCTTTAAAATATGGAATCACCTTGAAAAAATAAATAAAGAAGTTAAAACTGGGGCATTTGTTACAATAATTTTCTCCATTATATGACCTGTATGTGTCTAGGCCTACTACATTATAAGTATAATTTTCTCCATTATATGAACTGTATGTCTAGGCCTACTTCATTACAAGTATAATTTTCTCCATTATATGAACTGTATGTCTAGGCCTACTTCATTACAAGTATAATTTTCTCCATTATATGACCTGTATATGTCTAGGCCTACTACATTACAAGTATAATTTTCTCCATTATATGACCTGTATATGTCTAGGCCTACTACATTACAAGTATAATTGCCTCCATTATATGACCTGTATATGTCTAGGCCTATTACATTACAAGTATAATTTCCTCCATTATATGACCTGTATGTGTCTAGGCCTACTACATTACAAGTATAATTTACTCCATTATATGACCTGTATATGTCTAGGCCTACTACATTACAAGTATAATTGTCTCCATTATATGACCTGTATATGTCTAGGCCTACTACATTACAAGTATAATTTACTCCATTACATGACCTGTATATGTCTAGGCCTACTACATTACAAGTATAATTGTCTCCATTATATGACCTGTATATGTCTAGGCCTACTACATTACAAGTATAATTTACTCCATTATATACTGTATAGATCTAGGTCTATTTTATTAAAATTTTAAATTTGCTCCATTATTTGATCTACATAGATACAGGTTTATTATATTACCAGTTTAATTAGCTTCATTATACGATCTCCATGGTAACCGGGACAACTAGACAATTACTATACGTCCTACTTCCTCATTTTTTATGTGTCTAATTTAATTATGCGGCGCCTAGTTGTCTGGTTACCTCCATCTTTAGTGACTTTACATTAGTTTAGCTATTTTCAGTATATTATCTAACCTGAATATTTCGGGGCCCTGAAAATTTCATGTACACACTGACGGACACAAGACAAACAAAACACTTTATAGTATAAGGATTATAACGGAATCCGCTATTTATTGGGCTTTACATAATTAATACTCATTGCATTATTATAACATATTTTATCAATTTGCTCCAGGTGAATAACTGACCACAATAATATCGCAAAGATTTATATTTTACAACTCAAGCCTTCAGTTGTGAATAACTAACGGCACGCCGCAAACTGGTTGTGTGATAGATCAACTAACGCTTATTTACATACAATGCATATAAAAGTCTAACAGTAATACTAGTACTACTAAAGCACCTGATGTTAGAATTTTACAACGGGCGTACTTTTGCTCTTCTGCCAACTTTTTTTTCACGACTTTACGAATGTAGAAGTAATATAAATGCAATCTGACAAACCACTGGGTAACAGATATGCCACCAAAGTTCACTCTAAGAGGGGGAGGGGAGTTCTGTATAGAGCATTCTCATTAACCTGCTTGAACTGGAATATTTGAACGTTAACAACTGCTTCTTGAGCACGAGACCATTTATCAACGTCACAAAACTGTTTTAGTTTCCTTCAAGTGCTAATGATGGGTTCACAGAGTTCCAGACAGTGAGACACGAATTCATTCTACGTAACCCTAAAATTACTGAAGGTCTCCAGACATCAACAGCTTTCTAAAAACTGATGCATTTGGGATCATTTTATGACTATTATTTACAGACTAATAACATACAAGACGCATAAAATATTTAAATAAAAACATTACTAACTGCAATTAATCATATTAATTACTGCTAGAATCCCCTATGTACTTTAAATGCAAAATGAGCGATTTTACCCAAATATTTTGGTCAGTCCTTTACAACGAGTGTTGTAACTGGCAAAACCATAATGCAACTCGATATGATTCAATATGTGGATCCCACCAATAGTGAGCGATATTATTCGAGTGGTATCTGTGCTAGCCTCCCTAATTTTGCAGCCATAAATGAGCTATAGAAAAACTAGTTTGTAATTTGAAGGTTACAACGATGTCTTTTCCATTTCTTTAAATTGTCACTCAACTTGGAAGATTTACCAATATCAGTCCTCCGTTTCCTCTCTTGAAGCAAACCAACGGATTAAATAATTATAAAGCATATTACATCT